CTCATATAATTTCCTTCTCAGGGGAGAATTCAATCACCAGTAACACAAAGTGGGATTAACTTGTCGTGGAGAGCCATCTGGAGAGAGATTCACCTTCCCCTGTAAATGTGTTCAGAGATCTGCCACCATGATTTTGAAGAAGTTGCTGAAAGCGCTCAAAGGTACAAATGATGTTTCGTCTGAAAGTCTTGTTCCGTTGACCAGTGAAATGAACATGCAACTGCAGGAAAATCTAGTCCTTCTTCTGTGTTTTAATATTTCTCTGCCACGGGAGGGCGATATCAGGGTTTCCAGGAACAGCTTGAGTACTTGTAAAGACACGACAAAAAGCCAGTGGAAACTGTCCTTAAACTGCATTGAATAGATAAAGGCTCATGAAAAGGAAAGTGAGTGGAGGGAGGGACTAAAACAGGGAAATTACTGAGTCAAAATTCAGCTCTCTGGGTCATGCTAGGGTGTCCAATAAGAGCTGACTCTCTTGAAGAACACAGAAACCTTTAGGTAAGCCTTAGAAAGTAGAGAACCCAGAGGCACACAAAAGGCAGAGAAAGCCTTCACAGTTTAATGGAAGAAAATGAATTAGCATAGTCTGGGGATAGAGGCCAGATGGCCGAAGAGATCAGAGGCCAGCCTCAAGTTCCCTGAGCCAAGCCAGGTCATCTGAAATGACGCCAGTCTTCAGAGCAGCAAGTGTGTCAGTCCTCAGAGGAGGAACTGAACCTCTACCAAAAAAAGTAAGCGCCAGATGTACCAATGACCTGAACACTTCTGCGGTATGGGGGCAGAATCAGATGGGTCAGGAAAATAACAGATTATTTAAAAATTGGTTTTATTAAATAATTACCATCTTCACTATTAAAATTACTGACAAACTATACATACAGTGTCTTTCTCAATGTGTAAGTCAATTATGATACAAAAAGTTGTGAAGCTATTAAAGTTATAATACACCAATTGATTTTGAACAATGTACTAAGCCTCTGACTCATTTGGTGAGGCTAGCATAAGTCTGATATTTAAACCAGGCAATGGCACCATGAAAAAAGAAAATTATAAAGTCAACTCAGTTTTGAATATAAATGTGAAAATCCTAAATTAAACATGGGCAAGCTATCTTAAAAATGTGTAAAAAAAATACATAATGACTAACCTGGGTTGGGTTGATCTCAAGATGTCAGTGATGGCTTAACATTAGTAGAAAGTCTATTAATGTAATGCTTTACATTAACATAATAAAAGAGAAAGGCCATATGTTCATCTCACTGGGTACTGGAAAGCCAACAAACAAAATTCGACACTCATTCATGATGAGAACTCTTAGTAAACTAGGAATAGAAGGGCACATCTACATCCCAGTAAAGGTTACCAAAAATCGACAGCAAACATCATGTGTATTAGAGAAATGTTGGAAGCATTTCCTTTAGAGTCAGGACCAAATCAAGGCTGCCTGCTTTCACCACATTCGATTCTACATTTATTGGAAGTCCAAGCCAGCACAATTAAAAAAAAACAAAAAAACAATTAAAGCTATAAAGACTGGAAAGAAAGATGATGCAACAATAAGATTGTTTTCCCAGAAAATTCAAGAAACTCTTCAAGACAAACTGTGGAATATAAGAGGAGAATCTGTCAAGATTACTGGATGTACTATCCAAATATCAATGTACTAAAATTGCATTCAAACACACAAACAACAAGTAATTGGAAATTAGAACATGAAGTGAAAACACACACAATAGCAAGAAAAGTTACCAGTTTTCTACAAATAAATCTAACAAAAGATGGACAACTCCTTTATCAATAATAACATAAAGCTGTAGAAAAATATAAAATAAAACCTAAATAAATGGAGAGTGGCATTAATGAACATTATCAAAATAGCAATTGTCTGCCTTTGATTTGTAAATTCAATGCAATTCCAACCAACACTCCAATAGAGTTATTTTTATACAACTAAATTTCATATAGAAAGTGATCCTGTATTTCATTTGGATGAATGAAGAGCCAAGAATAGCCAATATATTTTTGAAGAAGGAAGATTTATATTTGCCAAATAGTAAGGTTTAATATAAAATTATAGTATTGAAACAGGGTAGCATTGGTACAGGGATAGACAAAGATGAATGGAATAGAATAAACTTTTAAACCAATGGTTTAATAAATGGACATTTAGTAAATGGTACTGACAACTGGCTCTCCATGTAGAAAAAGACAAAATCAAATCTTTACCTCACACTATACACAAAAATTAATTTCAAGTGGACTATAAACTTGAACGTGAAAATAAAAACACTAAGCTTTAGAAGATAATATAAAAGAATAGCATGATTATGTAAGATCCATTAAAAGAAATAAAATAGATTTTAAAAATCCATACAGGTCAAATTTTAAAACAAAATATTGAGTAAAAAAAGCTAGTTGGAAAAGAATGTGTACATTTTGGTGACAACAGTATGTCTTGTTTGTCACAAATTATATGCACACACATATGAGAACAAATGCAATAAAAAGACAAACTTTAAAGGTAGATGAATACGACTATTTAAAAATTAAAACTTCTGTACAAAAGATATCATAAGCAAAGTACAAATCGAATTCACATAAGGGGAGAAAATAACTGAAACCCATACAATCATCAAATAATTGGTGTACACAATAATAAAGAATTCCAACAAGGCTGTAAGAAAAAGAGAAACAATCTAAAAGAAATAGACAAGAATGCATACGATTCATAAAAATTGTGAATTAGTGGCTAGTAAGTGTCTGAAAAGATTCTCAACCCAATTAACAACCAGGGAAATGAAAATTAGAAATCAATGACCCCATTTTGCACCCAACACATTGGCAAAAAGTTGCAAATCTCATAACATCAAATATTGCTGGAGATGTGGGGAAACAGGGACCCATGCACATTGTTGGTACCACCACTTTGGAAAGCAATTAATGAAGTCCTAGGAAAGCTGAAGATGCACTATTCTTTGATCCAGTAGTTCCACTCCCAGGTGTCTATTCTAAATAATTATTTTTATGAAAGTAATCTTGCGTGAACAGGGAAGTTTATACAAAGTCATTCATTCGTAGCGGGGTAGCATGGTTTGTAAAAATTGAAGAATGAAAACATCTTACTGTCTCTAAGTAAGATAACACTCTGGTTTGTCAATACAATGCATTCTATACAGCAGGTAAAATGAATGAAGCAAATCTGTATCTCTCTGTCTATCTACTGCTATAAATCTTTAAAAACCAAAATGCTGAATAAGAAAATCAAGTTGTAAAAGCATAGTGACAGATTTTAAAACACACTAAACAACAGTTATACTGTTTCAGAATAGTCATCTGTACCCTATCAGTAGTTCCCCCCAGGGGACATTTGGCAATGTCATAACTGGAGGAGGATGGTACTGGCATCTAGTAGATAGAGGCCAGAAACACTGCCGACATTTTACAATGCACTGGACAACGCCCCCAGCCCCTGCCTCAATACAAACCAAAGAATTATTTGACTCCAAATGTCAAAAGTACTGAGGTTGAGAAATTCTGCTCTAGACCCATCCTATCCAAGTCACATGACTGAGACCGGGGATTGAGGCAAGGCGTGTACTCTTCAAAAAAAAAAAAAATGACAGTACAGTTCAGGGAGAAGGGAAGTAATTAAACACATTGACTACAGTATGTATGAAAAAGATTGAAAGAATACACACTAAAATATTATCAGTAATGATTCCTGAGATAGTGTTCAAGAGTTGTGTTGTGTATACTTCTATTTTCTAACTTATCTAAAAGGAATATGAAGCATTGGTGAAATGAAAAAGAAAAGTACAAAAAAGGTATCTTTCCCCAAAAAAGTTCTCCTCCAACATTTTACATTTCAGATCAGTTTCATAGTGTATATTTTTACATTATTATTCTTAGCTATTAACTATTTTGTGTTCTATTTTTCCCCCGTGACATTATTATATAGCTCATTCCTTAAATCCAGATAATCTTCACATTTGAAGTTTTAATGGCTATATGATGTTTCATTGTATTGCTATGTCGAGATTTACTTAGCTATTTCCTAGCTGTTAATGATTTTGGATCCCTCTGTTATTATGAAAAGCATAGATATAAACATCTTTGCAAAAATCGAGTGTTTCCCCTTATTGAATTCTTTCCTTGGGATTTGCTTCCCAGAGCAGATTTGCCAAACAGAAGGATATAATGAGTTCTGTGATGCTTGGTCCATGTTGTCATATTTCTTTCCAGCAAAATTATGCCACTATTTCTACAAGCACTGTATGAGCGTACCTGAGTCTCCAAAGCACTGTTAACTTCGGCTTTTTAAAAAATCTGTTATTAACTTAATATGTAGGAGGTAGTGTATTGGGCTGTTTTAATTTGCAACTCTTTAATTATTAGGGAAGCCAAACATTTTCCCAAGCATTTGTTCACTATTTGTATTTTCCCTTGTGCAAACCATCTGCTCATATCCTTTAACCATCTGTCCAGTCAGACCTGAGTATCATCCACATAGATAACATTAATTTTCCTTGCATTCGTAATGGTAAATGGCTGTTGGTTATCACAGCGCTCTCCCTGTTGCTTTCCTATTTATTTTTTCCAACTTGGGACTGTGATGGTTAATTTTATGTGTCACTTTGACTGCGGCACCAGAGACCCAGGTAACTGGTCAAGCATCATCTGGGTGTACCTGAGGCTGTCTCTGGAAGGAATTAGCACTGGGGAACTCTGTAAAGCTGGTGGCCCTCCTCAGAATGGAAGGGGAAACGATCTGGAAAATATTCTGGTAGATTTAAAGTTACACTTGCTTTAGGACTAGCCATTCCGTCTGCAGGTACTTAACCTGAGAGAGGTGCAGCAGCGCAGAGGGAGGAGGAGCGGTGTGGCGGCGCGAGAGAGAAGAGGAGGTGCTCGGGAAGGAGGCGGGGTGTGGTGGCGGGGGTGGAG